CCATAGAGTACTAATAATAAGGCGAATGATAAACATAATACGAGGAGGAGGAGGAGGAGCAGGAGGAGGAGGAGGAGGAGGAGGAGGAAGAGCAGGGAGGAGGAGGAGGAGGAGGAGGAGAGGAGGGGAGAGCAGGAGGAGGAGGAGGAGGCGGAGGAGGAGGAGGAGGCGGAGAAGGAGGAGGAGGAGGAGCAGCGTGGAGGATCCAGGAGGAGCGAGGAGGAGCACAGGAGCGAGAATGTGGCCGCCTTCGCGGCATCGGTCCGAGCGGTGGCGGCGCTCAGTCTCGGCGCAGAGATTTTGGCGGCGCACCTGCGACGAGCTCACGTCCCTCCCTCCTCCTCCCCTCCCCTCCTCCCTCCCTCCCTCCCTTCCTCCTCCCCTCCTCGCTCTCCCTCCTCCTCCCCTCCTCCTCCCTCCCTCCCTCCCCTCCCCTCTCCTCCCTCCCCCCTCCCTCCTCCCTCCCCTCCCTCCCTCCCTCCCTGCTCCTCCTTCCTCCTCCTTCCTTTCCCCCGTCTTCCCTCCTCCACCGCAAACCTTCGAGCTGCGGACGGTGTCCTCCAGCGTCAGAAGAGAAGCCCTCACAAACCCTTCCAGCCGGCGGTGCTGGTGAGCGAAGCACTCGACCCCACCTCCACCCCCCACCTCCGCTTCCTCCTTCTTCCTCTTTCCTCCTTCCTCCTTCCTCCTCCTTCCTCCTCTTTGCTCCTCCTTGCTCCTCCTCCCTCCTCCTTCCTCTCTCCTCCCCCCTGGCTCAGCCCCGGTGGTCTTCACTGACAAGGCCACGGGAGGAATCCGGCCCGTGGGGCTCCAGTCTGGGTTGGGGTCTGGAGCCGCAGTCGCAGGCTTTGCTGCGAGTCGAGCGCAGCCTGTGACGAGAGCGCGTGGGGGCATAACGCACTCGCGGCCTATGCCCGAAGCGTGTCAGGCGTGGTCTCGAGCACTCCCCTCTTTTCTTGCCCTCGAAAGTTCTGAGCGCACATCGGTCACGACGAGGTCCCGGGAGCAGCTCCCAGAGCCGATTCTCCCGTGGCCCTTGTCGGGGCCTGGTGTTCCCTCCATCGCCCCCGCCGTCCTCCCCCCCAGAGTGTTTCTTGGCACGAGGATTAAGTCGGGCCTGCCCCTCTACATTTGGAATATTCAGAAATAGTCAAAAATAGTAGGTGGACCTTTTTTGTCTGTTGTTGCTCATTTGGGGGGCATTTTCGGGGTATTCTTCATTTTCCCCCCAAAATCCCCCTGCAGGGGGACACGCCCGACTTGACCCCAGTGGAGCAGTGACGGCTGCCTAGTGGGGCGGCGCCCCTGGCCGGGTCCTTGCTCCCTGCCTGCCTCAGGCAGGCAGCGCCGGCGTGCCCCACGGTTTGGCCCACGAGCGTGATGCGACGCCGTTCCGCTCCACTCGGTACAGTCGGGGCGTTGACCTCAGGAAACCTAAATAAGGAACGAGGCCACTTTTTTCCATAAGTTAAACTTCGATTTCCGATCGAAAACATAAGGAGAACCTGAGGCAAGCTGTGAAACACTTGAGGAACGCGGAGCCCATCCCCAACGAAAAGGGTTCATTCTTCAGGACCCCGACTGTAGGCGGAGCGCCCACGGTCCAGAAAGAAGTGGGCCTGGCTCTTGACCGGGTCCGTGGCGGAGTGAGCGGCTGGCCTCGGGGCTCCGCACAAGCCTGGGGGATCCGTCGCCGGCTGCTCTCCTTCCGGTCGGAGGTGGCCGAAGGCCTCCTCGAGGATTGGCCTTCCTGCCCCCGCCCGCTGCCAGGTGCATCGCGACCTTGGCGGCGACGCCACAGGTGGCGGCTGCCGCAGGGCCACGACTTGCCGGGAGAGGGTTCTCGATGCTGAGAAGAAGGCAGCCAGGGTCCAGGCCCGTTACCAAACGTTTACGGCAGGAAGGCAACAATAAGCAACATGACTTATGACACAAAAGCCAGGGTCCGGGCCCGTCTGGGCGCGGGAGCCCAGGCCAGCCACCTTCTCAGGGCGGGGGCCACCACGAAGGTGGTTGGTCGGCCAGCATCCAGGGTGCCTCCCGAAGCAAATCGGCCACGCGCAGAGGGGGGTAGGGAGAGGAGGAAAGGCCTCTTAGAAGCCCCCCTGCTTCTTAGAAGGCGCGGGCCTTCCCTATAGATACATGGCCGGCGCCTCCTACTGTAAGAAGCAGCCTCTTTCTAAGAAGCCTTCCCCCTACCCCAACCCCCCTCTGCGCGGCGCCAAGAAAAGCGAAAGAGTTTTAGATCGCTGCGGTCCGTGCTGAAGATGGGCTGCCCACGGGCTGTCGCTGTCTCGTGATGGCGTCGGTGTGCGTGGGAGGGTTGGTTGGGGGGCTCGCTAATGCAGCTAACGGCTGATGCTGTCGAAACCTATGCGCGCATCTTGCAAGATGGGCGCCTCTCAGACCCAGTTGTCGGTCTCCATTTGTCCAAGGGCACGCCACGGCGGCAAGGTCGAGACCTTGGTTCCAGTTCAAGGCCCTATTTGCGAACTTCTTC